TATCTTGGTCTTCATATCTTTAGTTTCTCTTACCCTTTTACCGGAACGTGGTGTGCTTACAAGACACTATGTCTGATGTCGGTTTGTATGCGTATGTGCTGTTTGCATGCTTTGTTCATGCGTGAAGCGAAATGTTGCAACTTTATAAGGTTCTGAGCTTGTCGAGCCTCCTTCTTTCATGCATTCGTATTCTTGTCATTCTCTGTAATGCAATCCACGGCCCTGAGGCGATTCTTGCCTAAAAAACCACATTCACTATCTTCATTCAGCATGTCGACTTTGATACCACATCATCTGGTGTTCTGTCTTTTCCTGCCTCGGATTCTGGCCCCTCACACACAGACAAATGTGCATATACGTGCATGGCCTAACAACAACCCGAGCTAAAGAAAGAGTGTAATGAGATAGTCTCGAAACCCTACTCATTTACGAATAAAGAAAGAGTGTCCACATGTTTTCTGGAAGAAGACATGGCCAAGAAAAATGTTTGTATGTAGAGAAGTTAGGCTTCAAGGAATCCCTTAGCAGATGGAGGCTGGACTACCTCACATTTCGTTTGAAACGGTGGTCGTACATTGGCCTCATGAGTTGTCATCCATTATTCACGAATAATCACCAAAAACACCAAACCAAGCAAGGTGGCCGGCTCACATTCCACTTACTTCTTCTACCTCACTTTGTTTGGTCTATTGTTTTGTGGCGGTTTTTCACTCTGGACATGTCCGTCGCATGACGGATGAAAGTTTAACAAGGATGGATCGGGATGGTCGCAGGACGATGGGCCGAACACATTCTTGGCACAATCCAACAGTCGCAAGTTCACGACAATCCTCCGCTGTCGGTATCCGACGAGGCCAATGTACAAATCTCTTCATGCTGCCTTTTCAAACGAAACGAAAGATGTACCATCATCAAAAACGCTAGTCTCACATACTGTCCTCTTCACAACCTCGTCAGTGCACTAACCCGTTTCGAATGGCGACTCTGATTCTCCGAGTCGTCAAAAAGGACCGTCTCGTGAAGTTGGAACAAGCCGTTCCGGTGGACAGTTGCCACCATCTAAACGTCCCAGTTACGTCTTGCTTAACGACGTCAGTGCAGCTATAAAGAGGTTTACTAAGAAATATGCATTTAAGACTTACCCATACACATCCCGATTCAGCATGTTTACGTCTGGATGAATTGCAATATTCTAGCTCGACCCCGAAAAGCTGTTCCACACACGCGGCGCGACCGGAGAAGTGGACCCCACTCACGTGCAACCTGCTCCCGCCAAAAGGAGGCACGAATGAGACTGGCGCCCTTGTCAGCTCATCGCCAGTGTGTGGCCGCTTCTGATTGGCGCCCGGCCGTGACCAATCGTGAGCCCGTGTGCGGCCAGCGATAATTTGATTGGTCGATCTTACACGTAGAGCATGAATCATGCTCGGTGGTAGACGAGTCAGTGCTTCTACAGGCTGTCTGGTGAGGTGGGCTAAAACGAATTCATTGAATAAATGAAGACCAAAATGTTGTGGTATGGTCGCAGTCTCTTTTCGTTTCATAGAAGTGGGTCGACTTCGTTGTCGCAACTTGGGATTGCTTTCACATGGATGGACATTTGTTATTTGGTCTCATGGTGAGGAATATTAGGATAGATGATAATGGTATTCTCGAAGGTGTATTTATAAACGGAAAAAGTTCACATAGTTTCCCACTTTCTCTGCCCAAACGTGAAAGGAACATTCGGTGGACAATGGAAACAAAAGAGAATATGTCACAACCATTTTTGGACGTTCTGGTAATTGTGGGAGGAGGAGAGTTAAGAAGAGGCCAACATATCTTAACGCTTTACTGAATTTTCTTTCCAACCATAATTATGCAAGTATGGTTGAAATGTTAAAGTCAACGTTTATTAGGAGTATGAGACTAGTGGACAGAAAGCATTTACTAAAAGGTTGAAATGGTTGAAAGATTCATGTGAGACGTATTCACCCCATTTTTGTTTAAGCTGGTGAAGGACTGGTAGTTCCATTTTCCCTTAATCCTATAAGTAGACCATTGAATTCCACATAATCT